CCCCAAAACCCCAAAACCCCATGATATATACGAACTCATATAAAAGTGGCACAATGAATTCTTTCACAATAGTTAAATTTATATATAGATTAAATGGACACAATGAATTAATAGCCATCAACTAAATCTCTTATTCAAAAATACAAAGAATCTCGTCCTCTGAGACAATCAAATTCTATATCAAGAGTGAGTTTCAGCATACCAATGAGCAATACGAACCAGATGACGACGCTATAGTCATCATAAAATTACTCTTCTCAGCTGAAAGTTCTGCCAAAGTCATCAGCCTAACCCTATAATTCTGGAGTAACATCCTAATATGAATATGAGTCACTGGTTTAATCACAGTTATCACCTCAATTGACACAAGGTATTAGGACTGATCATGATTAAGGTAAATTGAACCTCTAAGATCTTTACCTTAAGGATTTCCAAGTCAACAGGCGTAAGAGATTAGAACTTGATAATAAGAATGCTTAATCAATGTTGAAAGAAATGATTCTTACCAGGTCATAATCTTAGTAAACTCTTTTCAGAAAACATCAGGGTGTCTATGATAGAAAGATACCTGGCTTGAAGTAGTTTATCGCTAAGGAATACAGCTCTTAATCCAAGGCAAAGCCATCCACTCTCGATGATTATGGTCTTAATGGCAGTAGCTTAGGTATGTTTAACAGTGCATCCACGAGTAAGCTTGATACTTAGCATCAAACTAATCACAAGCCTAAAATTAAAAAATAACCAAAGTAGCTTGAAACTGTTTATGATGAATGGAATATGCGTTGTAAACTGATTCAAAAGCTTAGTGATATTTAGCAACAGCAAAAATACTTCTATGGCAAACTTGAAGATCACTATGAAGCTGAAGAGGAACTAAAGACAAAGAAGTACTTTAATCACAAGGTCAGGGATAAATTGGAGGGATAGTATAATGATCTCCCTGTGAGTTTGGTTGCTTTGCAATATAATAGACAGTTCATAATGGACTAGATGATCAATAGGAAAGGGTATTTTAGTTCTAATCCTAAAGAAAAGATTCTAGCTGATAAGCCCAGTAGATTGTTGTTAGATCCAAAGTTTATGAGTTAGAGAATTAAAGACAAGGATGGGTAGCAGTTGAATTAATAGGACATGGACAAAGAATAAATAGCCACTTAGAAAGAGAGAAATTTTTTGAGAATTTTAAGGAGAGAAAGCGTTAATAAATTCAAAAATGAGTTTTTAGAGGGAGAACTCAAGTAAATAAAGACTAAATAGGCGAAAAGGATGCAAAGTCGTAGTTAGTTCGATAACGCTGCTTCTTTGTACAGGTTTTTGCCCAAAGACAAGCGAAAGAAGGTCAAGAGTCACATTAAGATAGTGATTGATCCAAAGGAACGGAAGAAAGAGATGGAGCAATGTCTGGAGCAGTGCATCAATGGCACAGAAGAAAGTGAGGCCTAGGAGGACATTATAGACAGAATAATGAACAACAATCAGTATAGCAACTTCGTTACAAATTAAACCAGCAAAATGGCTGCAACTAGTGCTCAAAATTCTTCTAACAAGAAGAAGCTTTGAAATATCTAGATAACTGTAAGTTTGATTATTAATCAATCGATTAATCAGCATACTTAATGCTTTGTGGACTAAAGACTATTTAAATTTATTTCATTAATACACTTAGAGATTTATTCGCACGGGGTTTTGGGGTTTTGGGG